CATGTATGTACGTACACATGCATATATGTATGTACGGATGCGTGCGTATGTATATGTATGCGTGCATGCATGCATGCACGTATGTGTTGTAGTATATATGCATGTGCGTGTGCCAGTGCGTTTTCTTTTGGTATGTGTATTTGAATATGTATGTGTATGTGTATGTGTATGTGTATGTGTATGTGTATGTGCATGTGTATGTGTATGTGTATGGGTATGTGGATGTGTATGTGTATGTGTGTGCATGTATGTGTGTGTGTGCTTGTATGTATGTAGGTAGGAATATAGGTAAATGTGTATTGTATGTGTTTGTGATGTAACGCCTTAACGTAATGTGTCAGCTCATGCACGTAATGTACACTATTGTAATGTAATGTAAAGCGGTGTAACCCACTGTAATGTAACGCAATGGACAGCAACACCATGTAATGTGTGTATGTATGTATGTGCTATAAAGTATGTATGTGTGCAGGTCGGTCTGCTTGTTTGTTTGTAGGTATGCATGCATGTCTATATGTGTGTAGGCATGGATGCATGAATGTATTTATGTATGCATGTACAGTGAGGCAAGCATGTACGTATGCATGTGTGTATGCCAATATGTATGTTTGTCTGCCTGTCTGTCTGTCTGTCTGTGTTTCTGTCTGTACGTATGGACAAATGTGTAATACAAGCAAGCGGTGTGTATTCACACATACAGGGAAATATGAGTCATGCGGCCTGTTCAGAGCTGCCCACGCTGGTGCTCATCCTCAGGCACTGTCCCCAGGCGAGGTCAGCTGCTCCCTACCTGGAGGTCTCCCGGAGGTCTCTGGGGCCTTCGACGGGTTATGGAACGCCCACCCTGCGAAGTCGATTGGCGAAACGCCTTTTTCTTCGGTTCTCGAGAGGGTGCTGCGGCCGCATGTTTGCGGGCCTGCGCTCGCCGGTTCTGGTCCCGGGTAGTTTCACTAGCGGGTGTTTGGCTAACGGTGTTTCCCAGGTTTGATTGACCCCAGCCGTCATCGCTCTCGACCCTGTGGTGCGGAGGACCCGCCACCCTGGGCTGTTGGTCATCGCCCATGTCGTGTTGTGACGTCTCGAGCGGTCGCTTTCCTGGTTCTGTGTGCTGTCCTTGGTCATTTGTTGCTGTGCGTTCACTGGCAACACATTTCTCGAGCTCGTGGCCCCTAGATTCGAGTGCTTCTCACATCTGCGGAGTTTTCCACGTTCTCCTATTGTGCACGCCCGTGCGCTGGAACACCAGTGTAAGGACTTCACAGTCTGAGCGTGCTCCCCTCCTCTTCCGCGCGCTCCTCCTCTTCCCGCCGCCTGCTGTGCCCAACCCGGCCACGTGCATCCCGGGTCTGCTTCCGAACGCGGCCAGGATTCTCGCCGCTGCGACAAAACATGTTCTGTTACAGGTGGTTCTGTCCACCCCCGAGGCCCGAGAAGGGTCTCTGGAGGCCCCAGAGGCCTTTGGAGGAAAGCCCTAAACACAGACATCCTCTTCCCAGGATGCTTTGAGGGTCTCCGTGGGTCACCGGGGGTCTCTGGAGGAGGTCTCCTGGGGGTCCCCTGGAGGAGTTGCCCTGGGGCCCCCCTTTCCTGTTCGAGGTGACGACGACGACGACGACGACGACGACGACGACGACGACGACGACGACGACGACGACGACGACGACGACGACGACGACGACGACGACGACGACGACGACGACGACGACGACGACGACGACGACGACGACGACGACGACGACGACGACGGACGGCGGCGGCGGCGGCGGCGGCGGGGCGGCGGCGGCGGCGGCGGCGGCGGCGGCGGCGGCGGCGGCGGCGGCGCGCGCGCGGCTCCTCCAGGCGTCTTCTCGGCCGATGGCGCCCGGCCGGTCCACTCGGCGCTCGACGCCGCGCGCGGCGTGCGCGGGGCGTTGGCGGCGGCGCAGGCCAGCGTGGCGTGGCGGGCGGGCGGGGAGCAGGATCGTTGGTGCATATTGTCTTTGGTTTACCCCTCTTCTTCTTCTTCTTCTTCTTCTTTTTCTACTTTTTCTTCTTACTCCTCCTCCTTTTCGTCGTCGCCAGTCCTCCTGCTCGTCCTCCGTCCTCCCCCTCCTTTTCCTCCTCCTCCTCCCTCCCTCCCTCCTCACTTCTCCCTCCTCACTCCTCCTCCTCTCTCCTCCCTCCTTCCTGCTCCCTCCTCCCTCCTCGTCCCTTCTCCTTCCTCCTTCCTCCCCCTCCCGGTGCTGGTTCTGGTGGCCTTCCGTTCTCCTTGAAGCTGCAGCCATCGCCTCTCCCTCTTCCTGCCCCTAGCCAAGGGACGTGCGCTCCTGCTCCTCCTCATCCTCCCTCCTCCTCCTCCTCCCTCCGCCCTCCGCCCTCTGCCATCCTCACTTTTCCCTCCTCCCTCTTCCGTCTTCCCTTTCCGTGGCCATTTTGGCTCAAGACGATTGTTTCCGCGGAAACGACAAGGATACCGTTGTTCTGCGGGCAGTCCCAGTCTCTTTGTGAGGTCCTGTCGGGGTGCAGTTTTTCCACCACCCAGGCGCATTGGGCGGTGGGTATTCCAGCTTCTGTTGCCCATTTTGCAAGTCGCAGCATGGCGCCGAGTCGGAAGCAGTGGGCCATGTGCTGTGCCCCGTCGTGCAAGGCGAATGTGCAGCGGGACTGGATTTGAGAATGTGGGAGCGTGCAGAGTCTGTGGACAGGAGAAGCATCTCTACCAGAGCCAGAAGGAGGTGCACAACCCTGTGGGAGGCGGTCGCGGGAAGGGAAGAGGGGGGAGCGTGCCGTCCTCGCCGCCTTGTCGCCTGCGATCCTCACCCCGCGGGGCAGAACGAAGCTTTCCATCAGCTGGAGGCCCTGGCGCAGCACGAGCCATCGGCATCAGACCCGGTACTGGCCATCAAGCAGGCGGCGGACGCTCCGATCGTCACCCAGTCCCGCACGCCCTTGGAACGCCTCCAGCCCACGGAGACCAAGGCGAAGTTGGCAGCGAGGAGCGCATGCGATGTCTTCAAGGAACCCCAGAAACTGACCGCTGCGTCTCCAGACGGCCCGTGGTGACCACGAGTTCTCGGTACATGGAGTGGTGGAGGCAGGGGAGGCTCACGAGGAAGCTGCCTTGGCCAACAGCCAGTCCACCAAGGTGTCAGCGAAGGGCACCCTCCATCAGCCGCCGAAGGAGCCCCTCTCGGCTTTCGACGCGTAGATCGCGGTCGTCACCATCGAGGACTACGATGAGGGCGACGAGAGAGAGAGAGAGAGACAAACTCCAGGATGCGCTCTGCTCTAGGGTCCTGGGTTTGTGCGTGAATCAGGTTGCCCGTGTAGCCCCAGGAGTTGTTTTAAATTCGCAGGGAGTAGAGGTCCACACCTCTCATGCGCCTGGGAGAGTGGGCCTGTATTTCCTTGCCTTCTGTCGCAACCGCGGTCAGTGTACAGCGATTGGCCCCCGTCATCTTATTTCAGAATGTCTTCCGAGGACTCGTAAACGCGCGGAGACCTCTCTTGTTTGGCCACGGGCCTCTACCCCCGTCGGGAGGGCCCCCCGTTGGCAGTCAACAAGGCGATGCAGAATCGTGACGAGTTTGCTGCCGGAAGTGGGCAGCCAAATGCGAGTGGAGCTGGTCCGTCGAGCGAGCTCGGCCCCGCCCCATCTCACTTTTCGGGTGCACTCATGGCAGTATACTTGTCCTTACTGCCATGCGTGCGGCCCTCAGCGGCCCCGAGCCTCCTGATGTCTCTGGGGCTCCATCTGCAACGGAATTGCTCGGTTGCTCGATTGCAGAGCTGGCGATCTCTCACGACAACTTGCTTACCTTGCGTCCCCTGCCCCCCTCCTCCCCGTGGAGGTCCCCGGAGGTGTCACTGGGAGGCTTTGGGAGATCCTCGGTGGCTGTCGGTGGGTTCCTGAGGTGTTCGGAGTCCTCCGAAGGTCTTCAGAGGTCGCCAGAGTTCTTCTGAGGCTCTGGTGGTCTGCGGAGGTCTCGGGTGTCTCCGGCAATCTTTTGGGTCTGCTGGCTGTTTCCGGGGGCCTTCGAAGCGGAGCTCTGGCCGCGCAGTGCTCTGCCTGGCTATCCACCTCTCGCTGTCAACGGGGGGCAACCGACAACTCCCTCCCCCTCCCTCCTCCTTTGGGGTGCGGGGGTGAGTGTGAGAAATCGATGCTCGCCCAGATTCTTGATCCCGCTTTCCATGATTCCCGCTCTTAGGACTCCCATTGCAGGAACCCCGGAAACGTCAAGACGGGCTTGGTGCTCTGAGACGCCAGGGCGACTCGTAGGCCTCAGCCACTCCGGTGGGGACCATCAGCACTTTAGTTGAAGCACGCAGCGTGCACTGGTGGGGGGGATGAATAATAATTGTTCTTCAGGACTGAGTCTTCAAAGGCAATCAGCACCGCGTGCTCCCACTGCAGCGACGCACCCAGGGACTGCGTAAGACCGTTCGGCCCTGTGATTTGTAACGAGGAGGGATGAAGGAGGAGGAGGAGGAGGAGGAGGTGGAGGAGGAGGAGGAGGAGGAGGAGGACGAGGAGGACGAGGAGGAGGAGGAAGACGAGGACGAAGAGGACGAGGAGGAGGACGAGGAGGAGAGGAGGAGGAGGAGGAGGAGGAGTGGAGGAGGAGGAGGACGAGGAGGAGGAGAGGAGGAGGAGGAGGAGGAGGAGGAGGAGTGCATTCCTTATATAACAAGCTTCGAGCAAAGTCCTTACGTTTCGGCGGCCAACCGCTGGAGCTGAGCGAGGCACGAGCTCTCGTCCCCACGGTGCGGCACCAGATGCTGCGCCAAGACGTCGAGGGCCGCACCCTTTGGCCACGCTGCAGAAGGAGGAGGCAGAGGAGGAGGAGGAGGAGGAGGAGGCGGAGGAGGAGGAGGAGGAGGAGGAGGAGGAGGAGGAGGAGGAGGACTCCTCTCTCTCTCTCTCTCCCTCTCTTTCCCTCCCTCTCTCTCTCTCTTTCTCTTCTCGCCCCTGTGCTCCCTTGACCTCCTCGCTCCCGCCTTCCCGACTCCGCCGGCAGGTCGAAGAGGCTCTCGGGGCGCCCGAGGCGGCGGCGTCGGCGGCCCCGGAGGCCCAGAGGTTGCCCGTGGGCGACGGCGATGGGCTTCTGCTGCCGGCGGCCGAGAGCGACGATGGCGAGGCGCAGGCGCTTCCAACGGGGGGGAGGGGGGAAGGACCTCGCCATCCCCTCCTCCGTGACCTCCTTTTGCTCCCGGGCCTCCTCCGCGTCCTCCTCCTCCTCCTCCTCCTCCTCTTCCTCCTCCTCCTCCTCCTCCTCCTCCTCCTCCTCCTCCTCCTCTGCTGGCTCCCATGAGAAGTCTGGGTCTGCGGCATGATCTAATCGCATGGGATTTTGCTAGTCGTACTCCGCAGCTCATTTGTAGGTGTCGACGTGACCCCCTCATGCGGATGTCCTGTCCTGTCCTGTCCTCCTCCTCCTGTTCCTCCTCCTCCTCCTCTTCCTCCTCCTCCTTCTCCTCCTCCCTCCTCCCTCGTTCCTCCTCATCCTCCTCCCTTCCCTCCTCCACTTCCTCGTGCTCCACCACGTCTGCCTCGAACCCAAGTGGCAGTTCGCGCTATTCTTCAGCCTTCCTCTTCCTCCTCCTCCTCCTCGTCCTCCGCCTCCTTTCCCTCCCCCCTCCTCGTTCTTCTTCTTCTTCTTCTTCTTCTTCTCCTCCTCCTCCTCCTCCTTATACTACTCTTCTTCTTCCCCTCGTCCTCCTTCAAGCCTCCCGCTTTCGATCCCGCCCTCCCTCCCTCCCTCCCGCCCTCCACTCCCTCCCCCCCATCCCTTCCACAATGACTTTGTCTGAATACTACTCTGCTCTCTCACCTGAAGTTGTCCGGAAGATGTCCAGCCCCCGTCTGCGCCCTGTTTTTTACGCAGGATTGTGCGGCACAATTTGTGCCGAATTGTTTTTCATGTTTTTCCCCGCTGTTTACAAGCCAATGATTTTCAGCTTTGGAGTTTTGTGCTCTCGCTGCAACGTGGGCCTCGTTTTCGGATCGGCGTTGTTCTTCTGTCGTTCAAAGTGGCGTTCCCGCTCCAGCGTAGGCCACTTTTCTGGATCCCGCAGGTTTCGCATGGCCCAGAAGTCTCTCAGGTCTCGCAGGCCCCACAGGTTCCACAGGTCCCACAGGGCCCACAGGTGTCGTCCCACAGGTTCCACAGGTACCAAAGGTCTGACAGGTCCAACAGCTCCCACAGGTGTCCAAGCTGCACAGCTCTCACACGACCAACAGTTCCAGCACGTCCCAGAGGTCTGAGAGGTGTCGCATGTCTCACAGGTACCACAGTCGTCCCCCAGGTCCCACAGGTCCCGCCGATGCCACAGGTCCTGCAGGTCCCGCAGGTTTCGCAGGACCCACCGTTCCCACAGGTCCCACAGGTTCCGCAGGTCCCACAGGTCCCACTGTCCCACAGGTGTCGCAGGTCTCAGGCCCCACAGGCCACGTATACCTCCCAGATCGCACAGGTCCAACAAGCTTCCCTTTCCCGACTGCGCATAACACGATGGGGTCTTTTGTGAAGTTGCAGGTTGGCTATGGCACGCGTCCGCGGACAGAGAAAGCATCAGCGCAATGGGAAAGGATGGGAGGGATGGATCGGATGTCGGCTATGACGCTTGCCCACCTAGCTTGCCTCCCTCCCTCTCTCCTGCCCCCTCCTCCAGGGGGGGATCGAATCCCCCAGTAAGCAGAGAGTGCCGTGGACCGCCCGGTGGAAGGACCAGCACAGAATCCCGCTGAGGGGAAAGCGCATCTACCACGCCTTTAAGGGCACCCCACTCCAGAGCCAGTCGGTGCCCGCCCAAGGCGCGTTGCTGCGCTGCGAGCGCGGCAAGACCTTCAGCGCCAAGCGGGCCCACAGAGCACGCTGGGGCAAGCAACGCCCACAGTTGTTGACCCCATCAAGGATTGCAGCGGGCACGGTATGCCAAGTGCGCTGCTGGGACTACCGCGCGAACGTGCGTTCGTGCAATCACCTGGCTCGGGCCCAATCGCGTAGGGGGCCCGCCTTCTGGAGGCCGAGATTGTCTGCGCGCGCGAAGAGCGAAGCGAGGGACAAAAGGCAAGCCGTGCCCGCGGGCGAACTGACGACTTTGCCCGCCACCCTCATCGGCAAGCTCATGGCCCCATGAGAGGCCCCAGGGTCCAGGGGCCAGAGATTAACGCCGCGGGACCAGTGGCCCCTCCCCCTCCTCCTCCATCCCCTCTTCTTTGCTCCCTCTCTCTACGCCATGGTCACTGGTGACCCATGGAAATACGCCCCGCTCCACAGAAGGCATTGCTGGTTGCTTGATGAAGACCTGCAGCTGCTGGACATTCAGGCGACCTTCGCACAGGTAGTGCTCCCACGGCCCATTCCGCGCCTCCCCTCCCGATGGTTCCGAAGTTGATCTTTTCGAAGCATGCGCCGACGACGACATGGGGGCCAGGTTTGTCCATGCGGCCACTGGTGGAGCCTGCGCGCACCAGGCCCACCCGCTCCTGGCCAGGGCTGGTCTTGGAATCTACTGCGGGCCTGATCACTGGCTTGGCCACTGAGCTCGGGTGCGCAACGCGGTGAGACCTTCGCCCTGCTTCACATGGTGGTTAGTTTTGAGCGGCCTGTCCCCGCATATGTTGACAACCAAGCCGTCGTCGATGGATTTGAGGCCCTCCTTGCAGGAAAGCCGCCACAAGTCATTGGAGTCGGGGCCGATATCTGGCAAAACATCCATCGGGCGCTGCAAGCCAAACCTGGCATGTTCAAGGTCCAGACCGTCGAAAACCATCCCTGTGAGCAAGGCATGAATGAAGGTCGAATTGCTCCGATCACAGAGGCTTCTGACCGCCACGCGGATGAACTTGCCACTGCGTGAACACGTCTGCATACTTTGCAGCATAATGTCACTGACGGAGCCAAGTGGCGACACGCGTTCGCGGCGGCTCACTACAGCACGGCTGTCGCTATCGATGACCGTCGCCACTATACGTCGCTCTTGTTAAACAGACGCGCGGGTGATTCTAGGGCAGAACCCAGCAAGATGATGCCCAACCCGCTCACCATAGGGCAAGGAACTGACGAGCCACCAGGTTCACCTTGCGAGCCCTCGCAACCGCAAGGACCACTAGGGCCAATCTTTTTCTTCGACTTCGACAACCCATGTGGAGGACCGACGGTTTCGAAAGAGAAGATGAGGACCCACTGGGGTTAGCCTCGGAAAATTATTAAGCAACCACTTCTGCTCTATCAGGAGGTCACGAGAGCGGAGGTCACGAGAGCGACGGTCACGACGCCGACGACGAAAGCGTAGAACGGCGTCAGCAAAGGCACGCGGGGGGGACCAGTGCTTCAAGGGGCGGTTGTCCACCAGGACCCCGCTTGCATGACCACTACACAACGCCACCAGGCCGCTTCCCACTACACAACGCCACCAGGCCGCCCTACGCCCAAGGGGGTGCAGGCATCGGTGGTGCACCCATGTAGCGAACGGATCGCAGGCACGCCCTCACGCAGCACTTTCGGGCTGCCAGGCAACAGCCATTTCGGGAACGTGAAACGGCTTCCATCGCCAGCATCGCGGCGTTGCACCAGCGTGCCACAAATCTTGCGCAGACCCTTCTTTCCATCCAGCAGCAGTCCAGTCTTCAGCTGGACAGATTTCAACGAACTCAGTCTGCCTGGCACGACCTGCGACAATCTTTCCGTCCGACCGCGTCTCTATGGGTCACTCCAGGGAAGCCTCCAGGCGAACCTTGAAGCTCACCAGTATCACACCAGTGCTAGCCTTTCCTCTTTCGGGTGCGCTGCGAGAGCACCTTGCATCTATTCCGCGGTTTCTGCATTGGGCTGCTGCGGGGGATGCCGCAAGGTGGCGCCACGGATTATTGAGGTGCTGATGCGCGCAGGCCAAGGCGCGCTGGAAGCTGGCGCTCGCTGTTCGGGGGTGCAGACGGGGCGTGCCACGCCCTGACTACAACAGTTTGTGTTTTGTTTGTTTGTTTTTGTTTTCTCTCCTCTTCCAGCCAAGGATCCCTCAATTCGCGCCAGGAGGAATGGTGGTTTTCTCCACCCCCTGTATTGCGGCGCCTCCCGCCATTGTGAGGCTGGCCCACGCGGCCTTTACAACCCGCTGGGCCAGGGCAGACAAACTTGACCGAACTGTTGCGCTCTCTCCTTCCTGCCAGCTTCCTCCTTCCTCCTGCTTCCTCCCTCCCTCTATCCTTCCTCTTATAGCGAATATTCTGAGCTAAGGAACGGTTCGGGCTCGGAAAGGGCCCGCTGGTCCGTAGTCCATTTCAGGATTATTCCTTCAGCGCCGCCCCTGTACCGAGGCGCTTCTGGGGTTAAAGATCTGCATTGCTCCTTCTTAGCGTTCCTTCGGAGAGCAGTTTGACTGTAAGTTTAGGTCCGCCATAGATCTTGAAGTTTCCAGGGGTCCACAGAGGTTCCCAGATGTCTCGGGAGGTCCCCGGGGTTTTCCATAGGCCTTTGGAGGCTTCTGGAGGGCAAGGGGGAAGCGGACACGTTCCAAACGCTTCCCCAGGGGCAACCTCAAGGGGGGGAACAGGCTCAGGGGTCAGCGCATCGATCACTGATCGCCCGTGCATCGCCGAACGCGGCCTGAGAGCCCACCCCGCCCAAGCGCCTCCGGTTTCGCTATCGGGGGCCTATCGTCGGACGGGGCCAGGACGAGCGCAGATTCGTTCCAGAGCGTTCCGGAAAGCTCTGAGAAGGCCACGGCGCCCGACACATCTTCCAGAGCCGCCGCATCTCAGAGATTCCCGATCCCTTCTCACCCGATGTTGTCCTTGTCCTGGCTTCGTCTTAACGTGTCGCTGATTCAACTCGATGTTTCCCTCCCTGAGTATGTCCCTCTGAGGCGGCTCCTAGACCTGCAACAACCCCGGGTCCGAGAACCTCGAGGGCCGACGGCAAGGCTTAGTTCTTCTCTGCCGGGGAAAGGAGGATGATGAGGAAGAGGAGGAGGAGGAGGAGGAGGAGGAGGAGGAGGAGGAGGAGGAGGAGGAGGAGGAGGAGGAAACCAAGACGCTCAAGTTCGCCCAACGTTACAGGAGGAGGGAGGAGAGGAGGAGGAGGAGAGGAGGAGGAGGAGGAGGGAGGAGGAGGAGGAGGAGGAGAAGGGAGAGGGGGAGGAAGAGGAGGAGGAGGAGGAAGAGGAAATGGAGGAGGAGGAGGAGGAGGAGGAGGAGGAGGAGGAGGAGGAGGATAATGCGGAGGACCAAGACGAGGGCGAGGAGCCTTCCTGCCTGCCCCCCCGCCCCGCCAGGAGGGCCGCACCGCGCCCCTCTTCGCCCCCCGCGCGTTGAAGCCCAAGATCCCCAAGCCGCTGCGGGGCCTGGTCGGCAAGGCGGGCGGGGCCATCGCGCGGAGTCGCCGTCCTCCTCCTCCTCCTCCTCATCGTTCTCGTCGTCGCCGTCGTCGTCGTCGTCGTCTGGTCGTCGGTGGCAGCGGGGACCACGACGCCGACGCCGCCGTCTTTCCTGGGTCCTACGTTGCCGCCGCTCTGCCGCGGCCGAAGAGAGTGTCAGACGGATGAGTGACTACGACGATGGTATCGGGAACGGTGACGGCGGCGACGGCGGCGACTGAGGACCTCGATGCTCGACAGACGGCGGCGGCGTGCGGTCTGGGGACAGGAGGGCAGGGGGTGAAGGAGGGAGATTGATGAGGGAGCGATGGGTGGGATGGGAGGGGTGGGAGGGAGGGGAAAAGGGAAGGAGGGTGTGATGATGACATTGGTGGTGCTGCTGCTGCTGATGATGATGATGGTGATGATGCTGCTGATGATGATGGCGATGCTGATGCTGAGGATGAGCATGACTATGAGGATGTGTATGAGCATGGTGATGCTAATTGATGATGCGGAGGAGGGTAATGATGACGATTATGATGACTGTGGTGGTGGTTGTGATGTCAACAGCAACGACGATGCTAGTAATGATCATGATGATGCTGATGACGATGACGATGACGACGCTGGTGATGGCGACGGGGATTATGATGAGTGTGATGCCGATGGCGATGATGATGATGATGATGATGATGATGATGATGATGATGATGATGATGATGATGATGATGATGATGATGATGATGATGATGATGATGATCATGCGAGTAATGACGATGATGATGTCTGTTTTCATGATGGCAAGGGGTGTAACGATTATGCTGATGATCATGACGATGTTTCTGATGAGGCTGATGGGTGAACGGCGATGGTTTTGATAGTGATTCTGGCCAGCATGATAAGGGCGACTGGGAGTAGTAATACACGTTCGTAAAATAACCTGATAACATGGGCAATGAAGAAGAGGGAAGTGAGACAGTGAACAAGCGGCGGAGGACGATGACTGAGGAACACTAACGAGGAGGGAAGGGGGAGGAGGAAGAACGGGTGGAGGTGGAGGTGGAGATAGGAAAGGAACCATCAGAGAAGAAGAGGGGGATGATGAGGGTGAGGGGAAGCGGAGAAGGAGCATAAGGAGGATACTCAGAACGAGGAGGAAGAGGAGGAGGAGGAGGAGGAGGAGGAGGAGGAGGAGGAGGAGGAAAGCGACTGCGTTCGGAGAACAATGCCGACAGGAATCAGGAATCAGGAGGAGGAGGAGGAGGAGAGGAGGAGGAGGAGCAGGAGGAGGAGGAGGAGGAGGAGGAGGAGGAGGAATATGAGGAGGAGAAAGAAGAGGGAAGGGGAGGAGGGGAGGAGGAAGAGGAGGAGGAGGATGATGAGGAGGAGGAGGAGGAGGAGAATGGGCAGGAGGATCCAGTAGAGCATGAGTGGTATTGCAATTCGGTTTTAAGACCTTGACCGTGGCATGTGCGTAACTCTCTGGGCCTGGAGAAGATGCCGCTGGCGGGCAGCCAGCTTGCATGCTCATGAGATCTAGTGCCGGCGTCGGCAGTTGGGCTCAAGCTGCGCATGGCCAGGACTTGATGGTGCTGGCCCCTGTCGGTGGTCCCGAGGGAGCAGACTGGCCTCGGACTCCGCGGCGTTTGTGCGCGCTCGCCCCCCGCCCCGCCCAAGGCGATCGCGGACTACAGTATGATCAAGGAGGGCGACCGCGTCTTGGTGGGCCTCTCCGGCGGCAAGGACAGGGCCCGCTCACGCGCCGGTCGTTGAAAGTCGGTACTTATGGATTCCTAGATCCTAATCTATTTTAGCCGCCTTCCTACTTCAAGAGTCGAGCGTTTTTCCCCTTTCCCTCCTCTTCAGGGGGCGGGCGGAATCCCAATCTACTTCCAACGTATCGTGGATCCACGAATTGTGCGGTGACCACACCGTGTGGTGAGTCGGTGGGTATTCGGGGTGACCGCGCGGCTTTGCGACGACTCGGATCGTTCTCCGAGGGTGTCCCGGGCAACCGGGGCCTCGAAGCTCCCAGATAGCGTGCGGTGACGGGCCGTGCGGTGGGGACTTTTGGGATTTCGAGGTCACCGTGCAGTCCGTCGCCGCTCCGTTTTGGGACGCCCAAGTCAAGATGCCGCCGCGCTGTTTGTTCCGACGCGCGGCCTTACGTCTTAGGGAGGTCGCCGCGGCCGCCAGGGCAAACGCCGCCTCGGACGCGGTGTGTTCGCCGTGGGGTTTTCTGCGGTGCCGGTTCTATTCGGGCGCGGGCCGCAAGGTTTGCCAAGGGTTTGCCGTTGTGTCGGCGTCGTCCACTTGGGGGCGTCGATAACGGCGCGGCGACAGATGTCCGCTTCGGGGGTCTTCCTGGGGCCCACCTGACGGATCTGCTCGCCTCTGGTTTGATTTTGGTTCGGCTCAGCTTCAACGTCATTGTTTGCGCTTCGCGTATCCCGGCAAGCCCATCCAGAAACGATGCCCAGGGGAGTTGAGGTGATCAGGGAAGTGGGGGAGCATGCAGAAGAAAAAGGGCGGGGGAAACCGTCCGAGGTGGGGGAGGGAGAGGAGGGAGGAGGGAGGAGTAGTAAGCGAAGAAGGAGGAGGAGGAGATGGAGGAGGCGGAGGAAAAGGAGGAGGAGGAGGAGGAGAAACAAGGACGAACATAAGCGCCTCCTCGGATGTCTCTTGGGAGTTTTTTGCCCCTGGGAACGTCTGTGGGGGCATCTTGGGTGCCTCGGGGATCCTCTTGAAGCCTCTGGGGGCCTCTTGGGACCCTTGGTGCGCCAGCACCACCTCCCATGGATGTGCCGATGTACCCTGAATTTTAGCACTACATGAGCGGGCAGGAGCGTGCTGGAAGGACCGTTCCGCCCAATCGGTGCACGAGGGAGACGACGGAGGAGTTCCACAGGATGTCTGCCATGCGCGTGATGGGCCCTGCGCTGCGGCCGCATATGGCCTGTCAACCCACGCCATTGGATGCGGAAGCGCAGGCGCAAGAGACTGGTGCCTCGATACCTGGGCCAACAGGCCCGGTCACGGAGGGCGTCAGAGGGATATGCCATGCTATGCAAGCAAACGTGACATCCCAACATCATTTGGTTGCTGCGACGAGGGCGCGCAACGACGCCCGACGTGCTAATGCACGCGCAGCGGCCGAAAGGCTTGCCAGCGGAAGCGCGAGGGATGGCTCGGATGCGCCATCATCCAACGCGGTACCGCCCCCAGCATACTTTGCCACTGAACCCACGCTGGAGAGAAGGGGTTCCGGCCAAACGCGCAGCTGCTGACGATATCAGATATTGGGTTTATTCAATGCGCGGTATGCCTGCAGCCTTTCTGGCCGAGGGAGACCCTGTGGCGCTTCCAGTGTGGGTATCAGTCCCATGGCGTATGTTGGGATGGTGTGATCAGGGCCCATGTAGGCAACCAGCTGCGGGGTGCCGCTGTGAGGCTCCCTGCGCGGTATGCCGTGGCCCTGGCATCATTGTGCCGTCATATCCGTATACTGGGCGTCGTGGTGACGAGTCGCAGCCGACTGCGGCGGCTGAGTTTATTTCGCTGCAGACCCAGGTCTCAGCACTGCAATGCCAGCTGCAGAGTGCTCGCCAGCACACTGCCCAGCCACAGGCGGAACCGCCAACCGACGACATCACACCACAGGAGCAGCCTACGACCACGACCTAAAATGGCGCGGAAACGCTTGCGCCGCGGCCGCACGATCCGGCCAATGGCCGGCTGGTGGAGAGGCTCGAGCAGCAGCAGGCCACCGTCAGTGGCGCAGGCTGGCGCAGGCCTCCACCGCCGATATCGGAGCAGCCCCGCCGAGTGGAGTCCCCGCAGAGCTCTCGCAGTCAGACCGTCTCCCATCAGGAGACGGTCTTGTTGATGCTAGGCCGAGACGCTCCCCGCGGGGCCCCGCGTGCCCCGGTCGCCCGTTGACCCCCACTCACCACAGGCGTGGGCCACCATGCGCGCCAGGTGCGCTCCAACATCCAGATGGTCCTGTCGCTCGAGCCCATCATCGGCGATGAATACCATGGGCGGTTTGCCGACTGGGAGCACACTTCAGGGCATGTCTCCATGGAAGAGCGGGTGGTCGAACAACGGCGGAGACGCTGTGCGGGCGCAACAGACATCCGCGTGAGCACGCCCTATGGACATCAGGACTGTATCAAGGGCCCGCTCAAAATTATGCTGTCCGATCGTAGATTGTCCATCTCGGTAGATACCGCTTCGAACATCAACATTATCGGAAAGAAAGCGGCCGAGCAGTTTGAGGATAACGCCAAACAGCACGGCTTCCAAACCGTGCGCCGTGGCTTGGCGGAAACGCTGTGTGTCAATGGAGTTGGTGCAGGTTCGGTCATCTGCAGGACCGTGGTGAAATTCCCCATTGCTTGTGACTACTTCAACAAAACACCTTCGCCGCGAATGTCGCCGAGGGCACTGGCGCTGACATGCCAGCCCTCTCAGGCTTGACCCGTTTCCAGCGGAAACGCGTAATCTTGGTGCTCGAACGCGGAATGGAGAAGGTCAGATTCCCGAGCGAGGCCCAATCTAATATTCAAGTGGTCAGGGGTGCCAAGATCCTCCGCTGGGAGAAAAGCGTTAGCGGCCACCTAGTCAGTCCGCTCGCCGAGTTTGAGGGCGCTGAGAGGGCGAAGTAGAGCGGGCCTTCCGCGTCTGAAGAGACCTGCTTGAACATCATCAGCAATGCAGACAGCAGGGCGACTGGTAATCGCGACGCGATGACGGTGGCGGGCAATTGCACTGATGCGGAGACGCAGTTTGGATACATACCGAGTTTCTCTTCTGCCGATGGCTCGCGCCCTCGGGGTCAGGACGGAACCCCTATGAGGAATGCGGAAACGCAGTCTGCTTTCAGGCCGACACCCACGAGAGAGTGGTTCCAATCACGCGGAGTCGCATCGGCTCTGCGGGGCCGCGAGGGAAGCCGCATGATTGTCGCGGACGTGCAGATCTCCGCGCGGCCGAAGTACTGGGAAGCACGCGGAAGGGAACTGGCGGAAGCAGAGATGCGCCTGGCACAAGTGGAAGTGGAAGCACAAACGCGTATTATCAGGTTCACGAGGCCCGGCGAGCCTGGCAGGCTCGCGTTGCGCAACTTGGTGCAGAGACCTAATGCGCATGCGCAGGTGATGGAGCAGGTGATCGACTTCGCGAAGCGCCACTTGGACTGTTGCCGCGCCCGCCAGGTCGCCAACTTCCCGCGCGCGGTCGACCGCGACCGCCTGGGGGTGATCAACCTGATGACAGACCTCCTCATTGCGCAGGTCGACAGGGCGGTTGCTGATTGGGAGCCAGTTCCACCTTATGCCATGGGCGCGCATGACTCGACTAGCGGAAGCCCGAGTGCAGTGACGGAAAGTATCGGGAGAGACCCCAGCAGTTTTTCAGCGCATTCATGGCGGTGGGCGACGACGCTCCCGCGCGTGGCGGAAGCGCTGGTTCCTCTGTCCCGTGAAGGGGGCAGGCTGGGGAGGTCCAGCCCTCAGCTTGCCGGGGGAGTGGTCCGGGGCCTGCTCGCTGTTTGATCATTGAAGATATTCGCAGCGTTCCCTTGCAACTCCGCCAGCGTGGATACGCGTGCGATAGAATGCCACATGCAGAAGTCTTGTCAGCCAGCGGCTCTATGTATTAGGGAGCTGCGTTGGCTGGTGGGGATAATCTGCCGTAGATCTCCGCGCCGGCGGAATGGTATATGCGCGCGCGCCATGGAGAAGGACGGGTGCGTATTAGGAGCGGATGCGCAATCTTGCAACTAAAGCGATGGGGTTCAGGATGCATATGATTATGATGGGTCCTTCAGGCTACGCGTGGAAGCAGCAGCCTATCGAGGCAATGATTGAGGACCTGCGTTCCACTGCGATGCGCTTGCGTTTTTGTCACTTTGGATTCAAATACAACCGAGCGGGTGCGAATCCTAGTGGTGCGTACCTACAGCGTGTGACAGCGTACAGTCGCATCCCTACAACGATGTGGAGATGCAAGCGCGCGTGGGCCCTGCCCATCGCGCACTCGACTGGCGCGGCGAGCAGCGCGCCGAATGGCGCCAGCAAGCCCCAGTGACACTTGCCAATCGCTCATGGGAAACAGTAGCCAATCACCCCGCAAGATCACAGTGGACACGCTATATAACATACATCCTCGCATATACCGAAATGTAACTCGCGTCGTAAAAATGGACGACAGAGGCCCAAAGGATTGAGACCTAGTCACAGAAAGAGTCACACATGACCTTGACGCAAAGAAGCTGCCACAATGCATCAAAGTCAAGATGGGCCTACAGGCTGCGATGGGTGCTCGCAACTCCCGAGTGGGATGAATAATCTTCGCGCTGACTTCTTCCGGGGAAGCCCGGGGCCCGCGTCGCCTGGGGTCGCCGCGCGGGCGCGCCCGCAGCGCGAGGAAGCGCCGGTCATCCGAGATGATGGTTCTCCTCCCTCTCCGATCTCTGGGCCGTCGCAGGAGTTTTTGTCGAATTCCGAACCGGCTTGCCTGACTGGAGCGCGCGCTGAACAAGGGGGAATGCAGGAAGCAGACGAAGCAGCAGGTATCATACCCAAGAAGATACAGGAGACAGATGAGGAGGGATATGATGACTGCACCGAAAACCTAGGAGGTTTTAGCTGTGATACATCGTGCAATACCGATGTGCCACGCGACTCGGACTGAGACCCCGACCCGGAGCAAACGTCCCCCGCGCTACCAACGGGCGCGCT